GAAGGAATGTCATTTTCAAAGCAATCCTATTTACTCTTTTTTTTTCAAGAGCAAATGACATGATTAAATATTTATCTTCATAATTATAGTCAGATGTTGGATACCCTTATAGGAAGAAGTACACATAAAAAGGTGATTTGGTAAGCCTGCCTCAAAAATGCTGATACTGTGGATTTAAGCAATAAATGCATTAAAGCCTCTGCAGATCCTGCAACATACTCAGTACATGAAGTTACTCAGCAAATTTATTTGATGAGTTAAGTGAGAATATACCTTCTAATTTGCTTTCATCCTTAATTATCCATTTATTCTTTTGATTCATACACAGTAATTTCATACTGTTGATTCCCTCTTGACCTTGTGCTTGTAACTGAATCCTGAGATCTGGCTTGTGGCCCAGGAATATGTAGAAAATTGTTTATATTAGCAGCAAGCTGCCTTGAGCTGCAGTGCTTTGATTTAATGTTATAACTGTACTAAAAGTAGCATAGCTTTCCCATGTATTCTCTATTCTGTTCAAATCCCTTGTCATTATAACAGATGTTTGGATTATTGTTCTGTAAACTATGTCAGAATTTCAATCTCTAGTATCTGTTTATTATTCTCCAAGGGTGATATTACAAATGTTCTCATGCACAGTTAATACTTATAATACAGCCTGTCTTTTTCCCATAAAAGCTCTAAGCAGAAAGTTTTTGTTAATCAGAGTAAATATGACTAATTTTAGAAGCAAAGATTTTTGTTTCAAGTATTTTTGAGAAAGTGATTTCAACTGGAGGTGGTAGGTACCATTCCTTTTCATGATATTAAAAAGGGGTGATTTTATTTGGGTTAAATGTTCTAAGAAGATGATCTGAAGAAAAACCAAATTAAAAGTTTTAGATACTTGTATAAACAATTAAAACTGAAATATGGTCATTTAATTATTTTGTCCTGAAGCCATAATAGCCCTTCTGTGATTTTACATTAATAATCTAATTGCATGCAAAGTTAGGAAAGGCATGTTTGCTGGAAGGACACATTTAACCTTGCTGCTATAGACTGTGAAATAATAATACTATAAGCTGATTTATTAGAACGAGAGCAGAAGAGAGTGAGGGTTTTTTTGTAAAGATTTTGAAGATTTAAAGGAAAGCAGCTACTCCTATTCTAAGGAAGATGAACTTTTGTACAAATCCTCATTAACTCCAAAAATAATACCCATTTTTATGGAAAAGGCTTTTTTAATAATGTTTTTAAAGCTTGAAATATTACTTTCCATGTTCACTTTGAATTCTTATACTAGATTGTCGTAGGTTTGCAATGTGATTTTCTGAAGTGGTTTGATCCAGTTGAAGGTTGCTTGGCACAAAATTCCTTCATGTACTTTTGGATATTTTTGTTTGAATATACACATGTATACTCAGGATACACCTCCACACACATGTTACATTGAAGCACATATTTGTAGTCTTACACATAATAAAATCAATATGAAAGTGCTGAATATTTTCTGTATTCGATAAGAGGGCATTGTCCCATTCAAGTTTCTAGTTATGTGAAAAACTGAAGACATTCAGAACATTTCTGGTTTTATGTAGATAGTGGTTCACATGCCAGGTAGAAATGGGTCTCTATAGAAATAATTTATTTTTGCCTTTCCCTTGGCATGCTATTTTTATTCTTTCCTTTTTGTTCTGCTTTGCTATCATTAGGCTGTATTATCATTGTTCATTGATTATGAGATACCCATTTAATGGTATAGCACCATCTGCAATGAATAGGATATTTATTGACTCAGACATATAGGACAGTCTTTGTATCTTACAGAAAAATGAGATAAAAATTCTAGGGTGTTGGGCAATTGTTGACAAAACTGACCTCACAGAAAAACAAGTGCTTGTGCTACCCTTAATTTCTTTTGCCAAAAAAAAAAAAAAAAAAAAAAAGGGAATTTAACTTCAAAGATTTTGTTGAAATCCCTACATGTATTATGTTTGCATTTGGGATGAAAAAAGAAAAACAAGGTCAGCTTCGGAAATGATGAATGCCTTTTTGCTGAAAGCTGTACTGAACGTCCTTGAGTTTAATCAAAACTATTTGTTTTTAGTCAGCTTTGCTGTTGTCTCTTTTACTCTTGTCCACTGATAGCTTGACATTAATGACATCATAAATCATGTGAAGTGGCGGCCAGGGTTTGGTAGCATTTCAAGTGTTTGTTGAGATGTCCTGGGCTATCTGAGAAGCTGGTGTGAGGAGGGATATCAGTCTGGTCTAAACGTTCAGCCTTGCCTCATTGTTCTGTTTTTCAGTTCTTGCAATGTGTATATTACAAACTTGGAGTTGTGTCAAATGGCAATCTTTCTTACATGCTCAGCTGGTAGAAAATTATTATGTGATTATTTCAAATTCTTTCCTCCACAATGTCGGCACGTTAGAAACCTTGTAAAAGAGATGCAAATATTACACAGAGAAATGTGTCACTTTGGCTTGTAGATTCCTTAGTCGCATCTTTTACAGAAAGGCATAGGTATAAATTTGTGATTTTCCCATCTCTACCTGGTATAACCAAATGGGAACTGAGGAATGTGCCCAATTCACATAAATCTACCATTTAAAGTTGTTTTGTTTTTCTTTAAATGGCAAAACATAGAACATCAGCACTTTGAAAATATTTATTTGAAAAATGTTTCACTGTTATCAGTTATTTGTTTCAGAAAGATTTCACTGGATCATTGTATGTTTTATAGCTTGTTATCTGCCTGACTGTATTCTTGGAACATGCTCTCCATTATCTTTGTACTGTACTGTTAGGAGAATGGAAAGCTCATCCTTTGAATGTTATTTATTCAGCTGGATTCTGTTATGTTACAACATGTAATTCGCAGACTACTATACAGAGCATTTATTCTCTTATCATCCCTTATGCTCCCAAAGTTTATTCCTTGCAAAGAATTTCATGTGATTATGGAAAGAGGCCTCCGAAAAGTCAGAGAGTATTTTTTATTTAGTCATTTAAAAGAACATGTGATTGAAAATAACACCTACTGTGTACTACAGGGAGGGGTAAAAAAAGCCACAATTTACAGTATATCACTGTAGTTTCATCGCAACAGTTAGCAAATATTTGATCTGTTTAATCTATTTAGCAAAACTTTGAAAGAATGTGCTCAAGTCTTGCTAACTTAAACATATGCTTATGTTTAAGCATTTACTTCCACTGCTTTGTTTAAAACTGCCTAGGTGAAGGTGGCAAATGAGGCTAGTGGCATAACTGAGATGTCAGTGACACTGACTTTCCGAGGTCCAGGAGTATTAAAAAATAGATAGTGATTCTTGTCCTTCTGGTAAGTTAAGAAAAATCAAGCTAGAGAAAATGTACTTCACATAAAATTTTAGAAAAAAGTAATCATTATGTCTAGATCACTGACTATGTGCCCCGTTTAATGGCAAGGGATTCTTATTGAAAAATTCATAAGAAATCTTACCCTAGGATATGAAAAGCATCTCTTTTGATGGGATCATATAGCCACATTGTTTTAAGTTGCCTAGAGTTGGAAAAAAAAAATGTTCCCACTTAATTAACTACAGTGTTTGAAGGGGTCTTGGGAGTCACCTGGAAGTTGCAGGTGCAGCAGTGCTGAAGCAACAGCTCCCTGGCACCTGCAGAGCCTGGAGAGCCACTCCAACCCTTCCTGGTCTGCTCCAGTACAAGCCAACCCGGGATCATGTACGTGGAGCGAATGATGGTAATTACAGTAAAGGGCCTAGGGTATTATTTATTTCTCACTAGCACAGACAGCACCTGACACTCTTTGTATATCAAGTTGTTATTAAAATCCCATGTCTGGATGTTAAGCTGACTTATTTTACAACTAATCTTCTTTTACAACTAATCATGAACTATGTATAAAGTTTGGTAAGTAAATTCATCTAATTTGACAGGGAATGTATTAAAATAAAATAATTTATGTCATAACATATACCATAGTAACTTGTTTTTGCATTTTGCCAAATGCAGTTTCATTACTGCGCTAGTGTAAACATCTTCTGAGTAATTTCAATCTTGTATTAAGACAGGATTTGCATGATAACACATTATTTTATTACTTACAGAATGCATTTTCTGAGGATTTTTCCTATAAATCTTTTCTGAATTAACATGCCACACTGAGGATAGGGGCATGCAGAAATCTTTACTGATGACTGCTCTCCCCAGAGTTTGTCACGCACCCTTTTGCTGTATGCTGTGATCCTGAAAATGGGTAGAGCTCAAGCTGAGCTGGAAGAGAGATCTGCTCTTATTTCGTCCAGTGAACATTGCTTACTTTCCAGTTTGTATTTTGGGCAAACATTAAAAAGGAAGTTGATTTCCTTAAGTACAGCACTTAGTGATACTCAAGGACACTAAGTCCTTAATATATAGGTTAACTGATGATACAGGTTATGAAGACATGAGAATACAGTTTTATTAAAGCAAAAAACAAGCTCTCTTGATATACACAAGATGAAACAGAAAAGGTGGGAGAGAGGCCAGGTTTAAAATTCGGTTCCCCAGAGAGCATTATGCCAAACTGTATCCTTAACACTCAATGTAATAGTAGGAACTGAAGTTCTTCAGAACATCTTGGAGTGCTTCAGCACTAATCTAGTAGGATCTAGTATATCGTCAAGAAAAAAGACTGTGAGGTATCACCTTTGTCCTTTGGATGCCCAGATATTCTGAAGTTAATTTATATGCTTCTTCATGACATGATAGTAACTTTTCATTTTTTTATTTATTTTCTCCACTCCCTGATAGCAAGCATTCAACAGCATGGCCCAGTAAATACGTTACAGAAATCCTTACAGAATATGGATTTCAGGGGGAATACTTGTCTAAACCAGTTTAAAAAAATCTCTATGTGAAATCTTATGAGTTGTTCACCAAGTCTATGTGTAATATCACACATCTGTGTATGAATTTGTTTACAATTTATTCATTTTCTAACCTTCTACTTCTCTATCCTGTGCACAGTTTCTCCACCACGTAGAGACTGAGCAGCTACACAAGGTGTGAAAGGAAGTCAGAAATCACCAGACCAGGTAAGTAGCAGTTTTTTTTCATATATTCATCACATTTAGGACATGATAACAAAGCCACTTCTTTTTTTCTTTTTTTTTTTTTAATTACCAAGACTGTTTACTCATCCATTAATAAGAATATATTACGTAGTGAAAAAAACATCTTCTTAACTAAGCTGGAAAATTCAGCAACTTGGCACATGTTATTTTATTCCCACTGACTATTTGAAGAAATGTTTAAAGTAACTGGAATGAAACAAATGCTTATAATATGCAAGATCCCATTTAATTTAGATATTTTGAAATATAAATAGGCATAAATAGCCTTTACAGCATGAGAGCACTGACCAGTGTAAAGAAATCACAGGAGGCATAACATAAAATACTCTACAGTAGTATTTTGCTATAAAAGCATGGACCCCTGCTGGCACATGTAATTTAATGTGCAGCATGCCTCTCCTAATTCAATCAGGTCTCTACATCCCTTCTTTTATATTCCAATTGGATTCCATGTGCTAAAACCATCAAGATTTTCAGGATGAAATGAATGCTTGTATTAATCCAGCAATTTCCATTTAAAACACAGCATCGATTTGATTAATAAGGTTTGATGCTGAATAATTATATGGCAAATATGTAGGATATAGCAAAACCACAGATGTGACCACCAGCAAAAGCCTTGTGGGAGAAGAGGGTCAAAGGGAAGCAATGGCCATGACTGAGGTGATGAATTCTTGGCTTTGCTTTTATGCAATTAACAAGCAATGCTTCTATTAATTTGCCCCCCCTAGAGTCTTCACTGGTCAGATGTGTCAGGGTCAAGGGGCACAGGGGCAGAGCAGGGGTCAGCATCACAGCAGCACTGAAAAGAAATGGGAAAATGAAAGAAATCCAAATTAAATCGGAGAATATACATTTAGCAGCATGAAGGGGAGGAGCGGGGGGGAAGCATCGCTTTAATGTTAAGAATCCTGTTTGAGAATAATAAAAATGTTCCTTGCGCATTTAATTCAAAGTAATCAATCTGAGGTGCAATGCTTGAGCATCCAATAAAAGAAAATCAATGTGGTCTCTGCAAGGGAAGACAAACAATGCCAGCTTTTACTAAAGGGATTATAGGTTAACATTTATTCAGTGTATTGTAATCTGATGTCAAGTGGTATAAAATCAAGCCAACAATCCATTACCACCCGTTATAGGCTAGGTGCTGATCTCATGCAAATTGACTTTTCATAGAACTTATTAAATCATTTCTGTGCTCTAGCCATGGAATATTTTTCTACAGCTGCTGAACTTCAGTATATTCTGTTTCATACTTGTGCTAAGGAATATCAAAAAGACAAATATTTGTCATTTCAAAGCACAATTTGAATTTTTTCATGGTTTCCTTGTGCTTCCCATCATTAATTAATCAAATGGAATGTAGTTTGTCTTAGATTAGTAAAAAGCAAAAAAGAATTAATTCAAGAGCCAGCATAAAGCAGTAGTTTCCTGACAGTCCAATTTTGTCCTGCATGCCTCCCACAAGTGTTATTAATTTTTAAGTATTAAGTCTAATAAATTGACAAAAGCGCGGTTCTTAAAAGATGCCTATGCTGTTTAGTGATAGTCACAGTAATTTGTAAGCAAATGCTTTGCAGGGAAGAAGGATTCGATGCAAATGTCAGCTTTCAGCTGGAATCTCTGACAATGGAGTGCCCAATCCTGTTCCTAAGCAAAATCAATTGGAATTTACCATTGACATTGGTCAGAGGGAAATAAGGTCTGCATTTAATAAGGCACAGTAAGAGGAGTAAAGCCTTTTAAATGATATATCGTAAAAAAGGGGGATTTGTATCAATCCTTTTTTTCTAGGTGTTAATTCATAGAAATATAGGTGTTTTAAACATGTGGCTCAAAAACACAATCTGTGATGTTCATTGCTGGCTTTAGAAATAGCCATTTCTTCTTATCGGCTAGAATGGTGCTCCAAGGACAAGCTTTGTGGTCCTTTTGAGTCTTAGGAAAAATTGGTAATCTTGAGTTCAACAAAATATAAAATATCTATAGGAGTTGTCAAAGTTAACATTAGTTTTGAAACTGTCTGGTTCCTAGTTAAGTTTGGGTCACTTTTATGTGTGTGGAAAAACATTACCACATGTTTGAAAATACTGTTGATATTCTGCAGATCATATTGCACTACAGCTACTTCAAAACACTACAGCGTTCAATGGAGATAGGAGAGGAAATTGGACGTGACACTATTTTTATTGTAAAGGCTATGTTTGGTTATACCATCCTTGACACAACAGATCATTTTAACCGTAACGTTTAGTTCCCTTCCCTTCTTTACATATATATGCATACATATATAGATATATATATGTATATATCCTTCCTTGTGGTTCTAAAAGAAAATCTAAACCCTGAAATTCTCAATGTCGTAGTGTTGCTCCTCTAACATTCCAAACAGGGAAGGTTGTGAGAGCTTTGATCGTGGAAATAATGGAAAGTAAGAGAGAAAGTAATGGAAGGTAAGAGGGAAATAATTCTGTGGACATGACAAAGATGGGAAATTAATTTTTGTTTGTTTGTTTGTTTGTTTGTTTTTGAAGTCACTGCACAAATATCTGCCTTAGTTACTCTTTAAAACCTAGTAAAACTCTCTGTTTCTTTATTATATCCTTTCAGTTTTCTGCCCGGGCAGATCTAGATTAGAATGACTATGAGAGGGCCCCTTTTTAGAGATTGATGCTAAGAAGGCATTTGGGCCTCAAAATTGATCTCAATACTGGTGAATACAGCAGCTTCATCTAAAATTTTGTTTAGTTTTTTGGAACAAATAAAACTAGACCCACAGGGTGCTTCAATCCAGGCAAGTTTGCTGTATCGATCCATTCCCAGATTGGGATCAGGGGTGAGGGGAGCCTGCTAGGGCGCTGCGTGCCTGGAGGAGATGCGCTGAGTGAGGGGGCAGGAGGGAAGGTGAGGCTGAGAAAGGAGGGGATGCGGATGGAGGGAGCAGAGGCTGCCTGGGGTATGAGGAAAGAGAGAGTTTTAACAAACGTCTCAGAAGGCAGCTGTGATTTTAAACGTTTTCCCACCAAGCTGAACCAAATCACAGAGCCCTGAACCCAGTCCAGAGTGAAAGCATGTTTGATGTGAAGCTTGCGCTCAAGCTGCCTCTCTGTTTTCCTTTGTTCTCTTTATTTTTGCAGTCACCACTTCTCTCTCCCAGCCCTATGGCTTTCTAGCTAGAGGGGATTTTTTGAAGGAGTCAAAGCGTCCTGCCAAAGTGACAGTTGTCCTGCAAAACTGATAACACACCCAGTTCAACAGTATTTTTTTTTTGTGACGTTGGCAGCTTTGTCATGGAAGCTGCCCAGAAATTAAATGTTTAATCATTAATACTTAGGATTAAAATGTGATATTAAAGCAGATAGCGCCTTTGCTGAAGATTCCTTATAGCTAGCTCCTGATAGCCCCTTCCTAAAGCTCCTTTGCTTTTTTTTTTTTTTTTTTTTTTTTTTTAAATAGAAAATCTTGATGTAGAAGACCCAAAGTGCATGAAATAAAAATTAGAATGTGGACAGACACAAACGTCTGATACCAGTTAGGATAAAAACCTTCTGCCTGGAAAATTAAGTGCTCTATTTTACAGTGTCTTGAATGCCTTATGCTACCTTTCAACAGAAAGGGGAAATAGTCTGCCTTGTATCAGGGGATCTACGGCTCTGAAAGGTGTTCTGTTGTTCTTGCATTTTTTGTGCAGAGGACCATAAAAGGTTGCCAAGAGGGTATTGTAAAACTATAGTTAACTGTGGATTTTGGCTAGATATAACCACTTAAAGGTGATTGAATATCAAGGGCTGAGTAGTGCTTATTATAGGTGCTGTTGTGAGACTTCAATTCATTATTGTAACAGAATGAAACAACATAGCTGCTGTACTGGACATGGTTGTAGTATTGATTGGGTTTCTCAAAAGTCTTCTCTTAGGATGCAGAGTGCAGTCAAACATGCACAAACATCATTCAGTTCCCCTGATTCTGTCATGTGTTCCATGTACCTCAAACTAAAGCAGCCTTAAGATACGGGAAAATGCCTCTTTAGTTGAAGGCAGACAGGGCTGTAAGCCTGACTCAAGGGGGTTATGCAGATGTGGTGACCTTTCTTCCAGAGACCAGATTTTACACTCAAATTGCCATTAAAGCTCCACATTCCCTAGAGGCCCGCGGTCGACTTGTGTGTTTTCTCTATTAGGGTTAAAAGTCAGTGTGGCACCATGCCCACACTGCATACTAAATGGAATGGAACATAAATAAACTGCAGAATTGCCTTCCGTCCAAGAGGAATTGCATCCCTTTTTTTTTCCTACTTTTATTTGTTTGTTTATTTATTTATTTATTTAAATACAAGCCATTTGCTATGGTGATAAATGCAATATCTAACTGGCCTAGTGAGAAAACTCTTGCTGCAAACAGCAAATATACAGGAAATGCTTCACTTCTCTCTCTTTCTAAATTAACTATAAAAAGTCAGCATTAACGAAAGCCGTCACTACCTGCACGCAATATCAGTAAATGTACTCTTAAAGTGCTGAATTGGAAATGGAATGTGTTACCTCTTCCTCTGGGGCAAACTGCACCTCCTTCTTCCCAGTCTCCATCAATATTAGTGAGAATATTAGTGTGAGCAATTTGTACATCTGGCTGGGTTCCAGGCTGCCCACTTGCTGTCTGCTACACAGCAGTTTTGCCTTCCTTCCATGTAAACTCTGCAAGGTCCGGGGCTAAAATAAGGGCTTTGAGCCTTGCGCATATAGTACAGCAGAGTCTGTAGACAATGCAGGTAAAATTCTGTTTCTGTTAAACCTTATTAGGAGTTTTGCCATTAACTTAATGCAATCCTGATTTCATTTGGATTTTTTTCCATTAGCGGCTCTCTGGCCATGCTGCCACAACACTTGCCGGCACTGTGGGCACACGCACACAACACTGCAACACAATATTCCACGTTTCACCTACCACAGCAGTGGGTCCAGAAAACTGGCATTTGGCTGGGGGAGTTGCGGAGCTCCCAGCCCACTGCAAAATACAAGCTCCATTTTTGAGTCAGCTGTAAGAGACCCTGGCTACCTTGGTATGCTGGTGCAGACCTGGTATTGCAGAAATGGACTTTGAACAGAATGTGAATATGTGAGAGCTCTGTCTTGCTTTCTAAGGGTTGGATGCCCATCAGTCTTTAAGGGGAGTAGACAACTGAGAGTATTTGGAGAGCAACATATGAAGAAAGCAAAAAAAAAAAAAAAAAAGAAAAAAAAAAAAGCTGCATGTTTCAACATCTTTATTTTTATATTTAAAACTGTAACTTACATCTATGGAGAGAAACAGTATTTTTTCTTAAAAAATAGTAGAAGACTTTAAAAGTTTTCTTTAAAGTAGAAAGAATGGATTATTAATTATGAAGGTCTAAAGTCAAGCCAGAATAAAAGCTATATCCCGGTAGCTCAGTAGAGATTTCTGAAAACCTGTATGATGACATGTTTTGTGGCAAACATTGTGGATGGAAAATATAATCAAGATGTTGAGATAAATCAGATGTTTTTATCTGTAAGTTAAGCATGCTTCAAAACTGCTCAGAAACCACTTGCCCATGCTGAAGTGAATTTCCTCTGTAGGGGAATGGGAAATATGGCTACTTTACAGTAAGTGATTCACAGATGTTTATCTTCAAAAGTAACATTATTTTGTAAAGGAAAATGACAACTTTAAGTTGATTAGAGATTTTTTTTCTTTCTATTGACCCTCCCCCAAACAAAAATTATTGACTCTTTGTTCACTTGCTTAACGCTTCAGAAGATCATTTGAAATTATTAAGGCATCTGTTAGAATATTAAAAACAATAAATACCTGCTCCCTCTCAGCTCAATGGCGATAGTAATCTATAATTTTTGTTACAGATCTTTAATATGGTTGTTGGACATCAGATTAAGCACATGATGTAACAGAAAAAGGGAAATAGCTGCTTTAAATAGCACCATGGCTGCAGGTTAACAGAATTGGGTAGGCATGGACTTCAATGGAAAGCTGTGAAGGAAATATCCTGTATGTATTCACAGTTGGTAGTTGAGCTAATTAAAGTATGAATGATATCCACTCTTAACTCTCTCATAATGTTGTATTACAAGCTGCTATTTGATATAAGGCTGCTTGATCTTGGCTCAAAGCTAAAAAGAATCTCCATTTTAATATTTCTTCTACACTTGAAGTGTTTGGGTGTCAAGGAAGGTGTTTAGTTTTATTAAAAAAAAAAAAAAAAAGGACTTGGTGCCAGATCCGTGAATACATGACATTTCCACAAGCAGACACTATGCGGCAGCGTAGAAAAAAATCAGTAACTTTCCAATCATCTTTTAATGTTTATGTCTATGTCTTAATCAACATAATTCTGGACTCAGAATTATCAGACAGGACTGAAAATACAGCAGCTCCTTTTGTAAACATTACAAAAATATGCAGTAAATAGATTTTATTATATGTGAGCTTGTGAAGGCCCTCAATACACAACATGTGCTGGGTATAGTGGCTCACCTTTTATAATCAAGATAGCATTTCAAGTGTAGGGTACCAGCTTTCTTTAAATGTTGTCATCCTCTCTTTCCTGAAGAGACTGTGTATACTGTGGAGGTTTTGCCCTCCTTCCTTGGGCAAAACCTAATTCACACTGTATTTCCCAAGTTGAAGAGAAAGATGAAGCCCCCCATGTGTCCCCATGTGTCACCCCATGAGTAATGTTGTTCTGAATCCCCTATGAAATGCTAGTCTTCGAAAAAAGTGCTTCAGATCAGCCACAACAAGAGAACTGGCTGTCTGCAGATGCTCACAAGCAGACATCTTTTGTCCTTTCCCTGCTGACCCTTAAATCTGCTGTCTCCGAGTCCATTGTGATTATTTGAGAAGCTATTTTATTAGTTTTGGAAAGTATCTGGAACAATTGTTTATTACATATCTCCGTGATATCTTTCTGCCGTCTTTCTTCAGGCCATTGCCATGACATTTCAGATCGACTTCATTTACTTATCACAAAGGGATCTCAGTGGGATTGTCTGGTGAGTGAGAACTATTAATAACAGGTTTCCTGTCATGTTAAGAAATCAGTATGCTATGACTTAATACTGAAATGGAATGTCAGCCTTAATGTTGACTCTTGTGTGTCTGTCTGTTTCAGAAGCTCAAGGTTTGGCTCTACAGGAGCAGATTTTCTGAAATAATAGGGTCACTTATTTTTCACAAAAAATACCTGACTTATGGGGGGGGAAAAAGGGGAGATTTTGATTAGTATTTATTTGCCTGAAAATAAGTAGTAGAAAAAGGGTTTCTTAGTAAAAATTATTAAATAAACAGCCTTGTACATCATACTTAAAAAAAATTAGCTGATAAATAGTAGAATAGTTTCAAAGAACCTATTCTAGTCTGTTAGGTAGGTACTGTAAATATTTATTTGTTCATTCTTTTAAAGTGCATTGCATTTATCCAGCCAAGCAGTTCAGAAGGGGTCGTTCTGGTCTGCTAGGTTAATATAGAATGGCATGAACCAAGGCTTTTGCAGTCCCAAGAAGCTATTCACATTTCAGTGGCCCTGCCCTTTGAGCTTCACTGGTGTGAACCCTTGTGTAATTAGCCAAATTTGACAGGTTTTCGTCTAGTTCCAGCAAAGGCACTTTAAAAATGACTGAAATGTTGCAGCCAAGCACTCCATGAACTCAGCTAGATTGTAAAGGTAAAGGCCCACTGTCCCCTCAGTCTGTGGAGGCAAAAGCCATCTAGTCTTCTCGTTCCCAGTGTATGCTATAGGGTATAGGTTGCCCAGCTTTTGCTAGGTATATGTATCGCAAAGTAAACCTGAAGCTCAGCTTAAAATGACCAGAAATCTTTATTCATGTATTTCTCCTGAGTTAGTGAAAAGCTGAATGGGAAAGAACAGGACACAATTCAGTATTGTAGATGAGATTTCAATCCTGAATGCAGTCAGTTACAGCAACCACAAATCCATCTTCGTTCAACTGAGAACAGCGTCATGTGGTAAAAAAAAGAGATTGGGAGAGAGAATAACGCCACTGCTTCCTCCTTCATCACCCCAAAATGACAGATCCTACCCCTCAATATTTAGCTTTCTTTGGCAGAAGCCACTACTCGATGTTTCCCTCCACAATAAACATTACAGCTACTCCCAATCACACCCCTGCTCCCAATCACACCTTCTTTCCATTCCCTTCCAGCTTCCCTCATAGTCACGCAGCTCAAGGAGAACTTCCTTGCAATCCTGTGAGTTTGTCTCCCAACCCTCGAGCTTGTTATGAGTCAATTAAGACGTGTGTGAAAGGCAAGGCTCCTCTTGACTTCAGAAGAGTGATTTTTCACTTGATCAAAATGCAAGGGGTGTTGGGATTCCAGCCAAACTTTTATCTGGCCAGGCTTCAAAGGACTAGTGCCACCACTCAGTGCCTGGCTTGCTCTGCCACTTATGTGTGTGATCAGGATCCTGTAATTCACTGAGTAAAAAGCAGAATTATAGTATGAGAACAGAATCCTCTAGAGGTGATGGAAATGCACAGTTTGTTTTAATTAATGGGATTAAGAACTTCAGAGTTTCTTGGACCGAATGTTAAATCCTATCATGTAAAGTTCTTATGATTTCGTGTTGATCTCCTATGCGATAGCGACTGTTGTTATAAAGTCATTATGTAGTTATATATTACATGAATAGCTATATTCAAAAAGACTACAAGGGTGTTGCAGTTATCCCAGAACAATTAATATCCCACAATTTTAAAATGCGTAAGAAAGAGGGCACCAAAACAGTGTATGAATCATGACCTACTAGACTTGTTATGTTTTGCTTTGTAACAGGATGGCATTTTTCATTTATTAGATTGTGAAGGGTACAAAAGCTTCCTTCCTTATCTTCACAACGCAAAAACAGCCATCTTGATTTTAATACATTGTTATTATAAAATAAATGCGACAGGCTCCTCTGCATGTCTGTCACTGTATACCTAGTTGCCACAGTTCATTATTGTAACTGCCTTAAAAGCTTGTGAGGAAGAGGGACTTGTATGTAATAGAAGTGCTAGTCCACCCTAAATATGCCATTAGAATTGATGTAGGTAGCACCAAAGAAAAAAATGCAGATGATTCAGAGACTTCTGCAGACTTGCTAACTTTTTGCCCAAGTCAGATACCACAGATTAAGAGGTGGAGTTAAACAATACTGCACAATACTGCATGGTACTATTACAATTAAAGATTTGTAAGCAGTAATATGTGTCCCTTTAGATGAAACAACAACCTTTAACCTACCTGAGAACAGCTCAGAAAATAGAATGACATCACATCTACCTGGAGAACATTATGTCTGCACCTGCTGTGTGGCTTTTTTAGGACTAGTAGCTTGATTTTGGCAACCTTAAATCCATAAGAAATACCAGTTTTATTATGACTTTTACAAACATTATACTTCAGCTATCAGAGCTTTGAAAGCTTATTTATAACAGCCCCACCTACAGCCACTAACCCTCATTTCTTACCTAGGACATAATTAAACTTCTCCAGATCCCCATTAACCTGTTCCTTTGATCTTTGCACTGATGATATGCAAAGCCATCCTATAAGGCCACATCTCTTGCTATTGGTTAGGATTTTTGATAACTGTATGCAGAGTTCTGAAGAAGCAAAATCTATTGAAGATTTTCTCAAGCTATGGACAAATCCAGCTCAAAAGACCAATTTAAAGAAATCCACGTATCAAATGGAGTGTCTTCATTAGGGTCTAAGGCCTAAAAGAAAATACCAGTCCAGGGAAATTCTGAAGGTCTGTGACTGACCTTTCTTTGGTTTTAATCACTGAAACTCCCGACAGCTTAATAAGTTGAAGGTGCTGGATCACAGTCTAACTTAATAAGGCCCACAGCAGAGCCTTGGCCACCTTTGATTGCTCCCATAAGTCTTAGCACATCTGGTACTCTGTCCTTGGGTGAGAAATGTTTTCCATAACTTTCCTTGTGTTCACTACCCTGCATATAAATTGTTTTTATTAAACCGAGCGATACAGCACTGTATATTTGTGTGAGCTTTTGCAGTTTTCAGCCATCATCCTACCGAGAGAGATGATTGTTTTCTCCAAAATAGAATTAAACACGGTTTATCACAAGAATCTTCTTAGCTTTTTCCCCCCACTACTTGTTTTAGTGTGAATCACATGGGTCAAGCTAACCTTCAGCTGTGACACAAGATTAAAGAACTAAAGATTGCAACAAGTCGGATAGGAATGATCTGCAATGTGCTGTATTTGTTCTTTTTAAAAATATAATACTGAGAGCAAGCAAGATTTTTGAAGGAAACTTGCTATATTTAAGAAAATAAAAAGCTAAAACTAAAGGCTGATATAGTTCTAAAAAGTATTTTATTTCTATATATGTAGTTACATATGTAGCTGTAATATGTATGTATGTAGTTTAGCTGTAATATAATAAATGAACATGTAAAATAATTGTCAATATTTTAGCGATGGCTGACTGTGCTATATACATGTATACACACATGTAGAGGGAAATAAGTATTTCTGCAAAAACATCATGAGTTGTTTTGCCTAAATCTGGTGTTCCTGCCACACACAATCTCATACAATCTTTTAATCTTTTATGTTTATCTGTCTGCTTGTTTTTTATTTTTTTCAGGTCTTGTTCTGCTCACAGTCCTGGGATATTTGAGCAACTTTGGTTGGTGCTTTGAACACTGTGAGTAGTATTTGTGATCCATTTTCTCTCTCTTAGTCTTCATGGGAATGTACATGCAGAGTAGGTTTCAGTTTTGATAGCGTTTGGGTTTCTGCTGTTTTATAATGCACGTTATAGTGTTTTTCTTGGAAAATCAAGATGATGAGATTTTTCTTGCCTTGGAAGCAGAAGATGGTGAATCTTGCAAAGTTCATTCTATTGCCTTTCTGGGATTTGTTCCACAGTCTTGTACAAGCCCTTGGGAAATTTTTATTTTGCACACAGCGTGCTTTAAAGGCTAGATTTGTGGGTTTATATACACAGAACTGAAAAGTGAACCAAAGACCCCTTCCATTCAAAGGAATAAAGGCGTAAAAGTACCCACTTACCTTTTTTACTTCCAGTAGTATCTCTTGAAAGATAAATGGTTGGGGAAATGGAGGAAGGGTTGATGTTTCAGGGCCGTTTTGGAAAGGAGTATTCTGAATTCAGGTTGTGGGTAAAGTTCCTTTTGCTTTCTGAAAAGTCGAACTAGCTAAGTAATTCCAAATGGTCTTCTTTTTTTCTTTTACAGATATTGACAGAAAAATATATTTTACAAATGATAAATAATGTTTTCACAAACAGCTGATCCAAAAATAAGGGAATACATAATTCACAGCAGTCATCTCTACTGTAGTTGTTAGGTGATTGTGTTCTTGCCTGGTTAGAGCCCCATATGCACTGTTACAAGATAATCCCTTCGTGCAGGTTGCTTGGAGAGACACACCCATGCATCTAGCACCTTTTTTCTGTGTGCATCACAATTATATTGTATTTCATATCCTGCTTTATTGTATAGTCACAGTGAGGTTAGGTCTTTCTGTGGTTCTTCACAGTCAATTGTCACACTTACCACATGGAGTAATTTCATGTTGTCATTGATTTCCATGAGTTCAGCGTTTCCCTCCTGCACTGGCTGCAGTCTTGATACTGTGTGCTGTGCAGTTAGCCTGCACCCCTGCCAGGTTGCATTGCTGATGCACGTTAAGCTCGTCACCAGGACCCTTGGGCCTATTTTGGAAGAGCTGTTACTAGCAAGTTTATTATCTCCAGCCTGAATCATTACAAGGAGCAGGAGTTAGGAATATTCCTACGTAGGAGCAGGATTTTGTGTATATCCTTGTTGCTTCCTCTCAGTCCACTCATCTAGCCTGCCTAGCTCCCTCTGCATGGCAGTGCTGCCCTTGGGCATATGGATGGCACACTGCAGTTTGGGCCCATCCGTGAGCTTGTCTTTAGTGCTTTCTCTCCTGTTTTCCAGGTTATTCTTAGAGATCCCAAACAGGATATGTCCCAGAATAGACCAGGCCTCAGGATTGAGTACACACCATTAACACTGTCCTGTGAGCCCAACCATCCAACCACATTTGATTGAATTCATCACGTAGTGTGGCCTTTTCAGCTGATTTTATCCCCAGTTTGAGAAGACGTGAAATTCTGCTCAGCTCTTCATGCTGCCAGAGCACAGAATTCACATTTCTTTCCTGATTTTTGACCTACTGTAAAGCTTCTACATAATCTTCCATCCATAATTTAGACAGCCTTTAGACATCCATAATTTAGACTGAGGCCTTATAGCTCACTGAGACCGTCACCTGTTCTGCCCCATCTGGAAATACGTAGTCTGCTGTCCCTTCTGGTGTCCCCACCCCCCCTTTCTATCCTTCTTACACAACAAGTCATGAAGTGATGCTTTAAAAATCCCTTTTTTTTTTTTTTTTTGATATATCTTCCATGACGATGCTTCTAGGAGGATTTCCCAAATGCTCCTTTAGGTCGCTCCAGCTTCTCTTTATGGTAAAATGAGGCCAGACCAAGAAAGGGAGGATTTCACGTGGGACCTTTGCTCTGCGGAACACAAATTTTTGAACCCTGTCCTCGTTTGTTTTTAAGTGTCACCCAGTTGCAGTGGTTAACTGGTCAACCTGAGGTCACCCAGTTCTACTCCATAATCGTTTTCAGAGAGGATCCTCTTTCTTTCGTGAAACCTTTTATTGCAATCTTTTCTTTTTATAAGATGCTGCATTTAGGGGTAAGGATAACAGGCAGTTTCATCAGACTCTGAGGAAAGTATTCCACTAGTTTCAAGGTTTCAAAGATCTTTTTACTGAGTTCAGACATCAGACAATTACAAGTACACCCTGCTTTGGCTGACCCAGCAGCTCTTGCCAGAGGAAAAAAATCACTGCCTTTTGTGATATTGGACATTATGCTGAAAGATATAAACCTTCTATGAGAGCTTTTTCTTGCCAGTTCAGTGTTACTAATAGCCTCAATGTTATCATTTTCAGTGCAGGCTTTATATTTTCCTATTCTACTAGCAACGAGCAAGGTGAAAACCCAGTGGATAAAATTCCTAATCATTTATAGTACAATAGTTACCTAACATAGCAATTACTTTTATAGTTGTTTGAATGATTTTCTTTCTGTTTTTTTTTATTGATGCCTGTCACCATTAGAAAATTTGCAGCCCATCTAGACTGAAGTTTTTGAATTCTGTAATGAAGGTAATAACATTCTAAATTAAAAAAGTAAATCTTAAAAAATACTATGTTAGTTTAACTATTTCCCCATGCCAATGTCACTGAAGGCTGAAAAAAACTATGAGGGAAGCCTTTGAGCTTCATTCTTCACTCTTTACTCACTATAAGTGAACTGGGATGTATGTGAAATAATGTTATTTGTAATCAGGCAAAAGATTAGGACTGGCTTCTGGCCTCATGCTTTACTTTATGTTTCTTGGGCAGTTATGTAGTTACTTTGGTCCAGATATATCCCTGAAGTTTGGGGGGGATAAAACAGAAACACCTAATTAAGATCATAATTGCTTTAGTTTCCTTTGCTTGTCAGTGGAGAGAGAGAGACCTCCGAGAGGCAATTCAGATTTAAAAGATAGGTGTGCTTGCCTTTCAAAGTGTTTCTCCAGTGAGTAACTGCGAAGATGAGGGCAACCGCAATTCTAATTAAGTGTTTTTGTTATATATCTAAAATTAGCTAAGATGAATCTGATTTTTTTCGTGTCTTAATTTCCTTTTGTAAAACAAAGTTGAATTTTCTTTCTCTTTCTGGGTATGTCTAGTGCCTGGCATCACTATGATATGAATTTTTTTAAGAATGACAATTACTAGCAACAGCTGATTCACAGAACATAAAAATTACCTTTGCTTGAAAAAAACTGAATCACTAAGATTCAAAAAAGGTTTGGTTTTTTATTAATGCCATGAAGTGTTGACCATGCATAGTCAGAAATCAATCTTGTTTAGTGGTTTCAGGAAAGCTGTGAAGTTGCTTAGAAGTACCAAAAATCATGTGATTCTCAGATGAATTTTGTAGAATCCTGAAAATTATATTAAACCCTTACCTGCTGCAGCTCCTTGCATTGCAGTACCTACCCACGCTGCAAAATCCTTCCCACCAAAAAAAGTCAAATGTCTTCCCTGTTGTAACGCTGCCATGCTGGCTATTACCCAGAGCTACAATGTCACTGCCTACAACATACTACTACTAATACTTACTACATACAAACCACACTGTCTTTGGACACTGTTACAACAATAGTTTTCCCAAGACTATTTATTATGGTGACCTGAAAATATGAGTGCATATGAGCAATGGAGTGCTCAAGCTAATTCCTTCTACATCCTGCACTACTTAGTTCAACAAAACTCTCACTCTCTCCCCCTCTCTCCTTTTGCTCTCTATTAGCAGCTGCAAGATTAATATTTTTTTTAAGTCAAGGGAGTTTGGTTGGAAGATCTCCCCCGTGCAGCTGCAGATATGAGACAGGTTTTAGCGGCTGAAGTACAAAGGAGGGGAAAAAGCTGTTTAAAAAAAATATCACCTGGCTTCTTGCCATATGAGAACTTTCCTCCTTTTGTTGGAGGGTTCAAGGCTCTCATCTTTTTGTTCTTTTGGGTTTAATAAAACCTTTTGTACCCCTTCCACTCCCTCTCCCCCGGGTGGTCTACACGGCTGCTGATTGAGGTCAGCTGCAAGAGATGTAACGTCCTGAGTACAGTAGAGCAGCCTTAATTCTGATGTTAGACTTACAGCACTCTTGAGGCTCGAGACATTATTGTTTTCCTGGCTGACTGACCTCAGCCAACAGTTGTTCTGGTCACCTAGTGAGAGCCCACCTAGTGAAGGCATTAGAGGAATGCTCCGCACATGTTTTCTGGGCAGAAATGGCTTTGCTTTTGTAAGGGAGGGGCCACATTGGTAGCCAGGGTGTTTCTTGTATGCAGGGGAAGCTCAGGAGCCTGCTGCAAGGCTTGGCGTTGGGCTTTGGCCATCGAGACAGGTGGAGACTTTGGAGCCCAAAGAGCTTCTGTGAGCCTGTGGGATAGAGCTGCTGTTGCTGTGTGGGGCTCTAAGGTAATGGAAGGGGACAAGAAAGGATATTGCACTTGTAAGCACCAGATTTCTCTCCTCCTGGAAGAAATCACTTTGTCCTTGAGCATATGTATTGACATCTAGCCTGTTGTAGATACTGCTGTCCTATTTCCATTTTTTTAACTCTCAAGATGGGAAAGGAGGTGATCTATTTGCAAACCTAATCAACCATTTGCAGATCTGCTTTTCTCTCTCATTAAAAAATGGATGGGGGATTTAAAAAGCCCACCTTCCTTTAGTGTTCTCACTGGACTTTGGGACCAGAAACACAACAGTACATGTGTCAGAACCAACCACTGGAGGTGCACACACTGACCAAGAAATTGGGCAGGGACTATATAATAAATGACTCCATGCTGAGTTCTGTGCAATTCAGCTTCTTCTCTTAAACTTGTCTTAATTTACAAGAAAGTCAAAGCATATGATTTGAGTCTGATAAAAAAATAAATACAGAGGTGCATGTCTTCTGCGTGGTAGTGACACCAGAGATGGTATGCCATGCTGATGTGTGGTGCTAAGTGGAAAATGAATATACTCCACATCCATCTCATCATGTATATGAAATACGTAATATATAACAGAAAGAA